CTTCTAAATAAGTTTCTTAAAGGCTTAGATCTTCATCTTTGAACTCTTATCTTCTTTTTAAATTTTATACTAAATATCTAAATCTTTTGTAATTTAAATATTATAATCTAAATAGATAAACTTTAATATAAATTTTTTTACATCAACTTCTTTTTAAATTAACCTAATAATTACTTTAATATACATCAATACTTATAAATATATTTTTATGTTTTAGTTATTTTTTATATATTATAAATAATTATAGTATGACAATGTGTTGTACAAAGTCAACATATTTTGGAAGTCCTATAGAATGTTGCCACATATCTCTTAGGTAGAGAATATATATGGAGGCAAGAATAAAACCTTCTTCACTCTTATCAATTCTTTTCTTGCTTCTAGTTTAATATTCAAGAATCTCTAGTTCCTTTCTTTTTGGCAATAGTCATTCTAGTTTTTTTTAATATATATACTTTCTTATTTCTATTTTATCATACTTCTTTGAAAAATTCTTACTTGTTTATTTTCTTTCATCAATTTTTTTTCCTTAAAAAATTGACAAAAATACACTTATATTATTAGAGGTTTATCTTTTTTTGATTAAGAATGGATTACTTATTTATCTTGATAAAACATAAGTGTGTCTTAGAAGTTATGAATTATCTTCTTTTAAAATAATATTCTTTTAGTATTTTCTCTATTCTTAAGTTTTTTTATAATTTGTCTTAAGCAATATTAGACATTTCTTTCTTTCAAGTATTATTATAGTAGAGCTTATCAAAATAAAGTATTCAATGGCATAAATACAAAAAAAAAATTAGAGAAGTTAATGCTTGTAATGCATCAACTTAATTTACCACTACAAAGAAGAAGAATAATAATAAAAATTAGAAATATAGAAATAATTAGAGCTCCTTCAATATCTATATTATATTAAGTGAAATACCATTCAAGCATTAGAAAACCAAGAATTGCCTTATTTGAGAAGTTTTATGGTACAACATCAAAATTTTGAGGATTTATCAATGAAGTACAAGTAATAATTTAACTTAAATTCCAAAGCTATCCAATTTTAAGATCACAAGTAAGGTTTATTAAAACACTATTTTTCAATTTTGCATTATCATAGTTTTTATCATATCTTGAATAACATGACTTAATATTGGATAATTTAAAAGCTTTCTTAGTAGAGTTTTGATGTATGTATGAAAAACATGATACAATTTGTATTGTAACAAATAAGATTTCTATTTTATAATAAGGAAATTAATCCGTAACATTGTATACTTCACAATTTTAACAACTTGTAATTGATATCAAGTGAAATGATGCTATACTCATTAGCCAATTTTTTGATGGATTAAAATATGTAATAAAGAAATTGATGCTCAATTTAGTTGATTTTGAAACATTGAATCAAGTAATTGAATTTGCCATAAAATATAATGATTGACTTTTTGAATTTTAATGTAAGAATTGCATAACTATGCTTCAACATTGTTATAATTTAATAGCAACATCAATGTTTTTTCAACACATATCTTTAAAAGTAGAAGATATGCAAATTGATACAATATATTTCAAATATCTTATTGAGCAAGAAAAGACTCATCATCATCAAAAAAGATTATATTTATATTGTAGAGGACTAAAGCATACTGCTCAATATTATCCAAAGAAATAATATAATATTAAAATAAAAAGTAAAACTGTCAAAAAAGATAATATGTCAATAAAAGAGTTTGTTGAGCTACAATAGGGACCATACGGCTGGAACTTTATAAAATACCTAATAAAGATCCTATTCTTTCTTCAAAATCCTCTCATTGTTTTATAATAGATGTTAGTTTAGGATCTAAACATCATACAACCTCTGCGTTGCTAGATTTAGGAGTCTTAGCTTGTTTTTTAGATGAAATTTTTTTTAAAAGACATAAAATGCTTTTAATAAAGAAAATAAAACTAGTTTATACAAAAGTCATAGATAGTTGCCTGTTGTCCCCTGAAAATATTATTTATGAAATATTTCTTTTAAAAATAATCAGTAATGGTCATAGTAGTTTTGTGGCATTTAATATCATTAGGTCTCTTTTTAATTTAATTATTTTAGGTTTATTATAATCAAAAAAGTATATTTTTCAAATAAATTAGATTACTTATAGTCATGATTTTTTTGAAAGACTAAATTTTGTATCTTATAAAAGAAACTTCTATTTACTTTATAGAAATATAAATAAGCTAAATCAATATAAATGAGATTAGAAATTAATATAAGCATATTTGAAATATAATTAATAATAGGTTAAATCAAAACTTACCTCAAAATATCCAAAATTTGATATGCAAAGAGGAGTGATTGTCAACTTGGATCAAAATCAAATCCTAAGGCATAAAACCATGTCCATATGGTGACTTTAAGGTACTTTTGTAGATCAAAGATTGGAACTTGAGAGCAAAATAAAGGAGATATTTTTAAGCATTAGTTTTATATTATTTAAATCAATATTGAGATTTTGAAGGATTTTTAAAATTAATAATGTTCTTGATAGAATAAAGATTTGAAAAATAAAAATATGTTTACAAATTTAAAGATTTCTTAAGTATTGTGGTATATATAAGTGAAATTTAGGCAATATGTTATTATACTAGTTGTAAATATGTATGCAAATTTTGAAATCAATCAAACGATTAGATTAAAATATATGAGGGTTTTTGTGGATTGAGGTCTTAGAAATTGGAATTTAAAGGTCAGTGAGTGTTTCTAAGATCTTCAGCAATTTGTCAATTGGATTGAAATAATTTTTTTTGTATAAATGCTAGACTTAATTTTCAATGTTTGGATGAAATTTGACAACAATTCAATAATTTTAAAAGGAGATATTGGTGCTAGAAGTTCAATGTTTAGCTAGAATAGAAGGCTATCTAATATCCAATTGGATTATCTTGCATTTCTTTCAATTAGTAAGTGTGATCAATTCCATTTTTTTTATGCTTATCTTTAATTTAGATATTAAGAAGTGTGAAAATTTTGAATTGATATCAATAGTTCAAACATTAATTATTGAGGTTTCAATCTACCATTGGATTTGTTAAGAGTTTGTTTAAAATTTAGAATTTAATTAGAATTTTTTTAGGATTTGGTTTAGGATTTTTCTAGAATTTAGGATTCATTAAGATTTTATTAGAGTTTGATCTATGATTTTTTTAAGATTCAATTAAAGTTTTAATTAGGATTTGATCTCGGATTTGATTAAGGTTTAATTAAGATTTTAATTAGGATTTGATTAAGGTTTATTAGACTTTAAATCAAGATTAAAATAGAATTTGATTAGGATTTATTAAGAGTTTTTATTTTTAATATTTTATTAGGATTCTTTATTTTTAAAAAAAATCTATTTCTAATATTTTTTCAAGATTATTATTATTTCTTTAAAAGTTATTTTATTTTTTTATTTTTTTAAGATTTCATATTATTTTTCTTTGAAATTAGTTTAGGACTTTTATATATTTCTTTTATAACTTCTTTTGAATTTATGTTGGATTGGTCAAAATTTGATTAGGATTATTAAAGTTTATTTAAAGTTTATTTGAGATTTTATTAGATTTATTAGGATTGTTGTTACATTTCCACTTATATTCCATAGTCAAGTGTCCAATGCATTCTCAAGCAAGAACACATATAATACAACATATTTTCTAAGAAGAAGATGAATTCTCTAGTTTCTTTCTTTTTTGGCAATATCTATTTTAGTTTCTTTTTAATATATATACTTCCTTATTTCTATTTTGTCATACTACTTTGAAAAAGTTTCATTTGTTTATCTGCTTTCATCAAGGTCTTGTCCTTGACACCAAATCTATATTCATTTACCTTCTATTTAATACTTTTTATTTAAGTAATTATATATGTTTGTAACAAAAACTCTCTTTAAAAAAATATTTGTAGATCAAATTAGATTTATATATAAAATCATGTTGGATATTGGTTATATTTAAACTTTTATAGATTATTATTTTTTTAGATATAAAATAGTATTATTTAATAATATTTATATTTATCCTAAATCTAAAGATTATATTATTTTTTATATCTTAGAAATTAATCGATTTCTATTTATGATCTCTCAATTTCATAAAATATATAGAAGTAAAAAAAGATAAATCGTTTATTCTATTTTTTTATATGTAAGAACCTAATGAAAAACATTCTATTATGGTGAATCCCTATCATTTAACCAAAATATTTTAAAATCCTAAAACAATGAGAATTTAGTTGTTGGATCTTTAAAACTTATCAAGGTAGCTCTATAAATAGTTCCAATGCAAAAGAAGAAGAATATATCAATCTTTTTTATAGATTGATTAATAAATTAGTGTTTTACTTCAACTCTTATTCTTGAGCTTAAAGAAAAGAATTTATGTCTTACTTATCTTTAAATACATCAATTCTATTAGTATCTTTAAATATCTTTACTTATCTTTAAATCCTCAACACAAGACAAGTCTCCTTAACAAATAAATAGAAATCTTAGATGGATAAAATTTTAATTGGCTCCATACCATAAAAAAATATTGGAATGACACTTTAAAATACCACCATGTGATCTGATAATACAAGAAAGTACAACTTTAACAATAGAGCAACAGTAGTTTTTATTCCTCACTACTCTTAACTCTGCCAAGCCAAATAACATTTTCTACCATAAACCAATAAAATTCTATAAATCAAAGGGTATTCTTTGGTTCAATATCCAATTAAAATCCCTCCTTGATACACAAACCTCATGTTGTCAAACGATCCTTCAGTCCCATAAAAACACCTCAACAAAAAAACACAAACCAACTGTGCACCGCAAAGCTGTGCAAAGTAAACACGTCCATCCACCAAAGCCCATCATCCACGAAATACATCCAAAACACAGAATATTCATCCATCAGGGGTGGAGAAGTGAAGGTTGGGTAGGATCCGGTGAGACGGAGGCCAGGCCAAAGCCAAATCCAAGCCCTTATGCGGCCCCAATGGAGTTCGGATCAGACTCACACACACTCAATCCCGATCCACACACACACACACACCGTTCCACTCCACTTCCACTTCTACTTGCACCACTAGTTCCGTCGATGCTCGCGCACGCCCCCACTCTTGTGCATTCATTCATAGCCCATTCTTCTTCCACCACTGCCCCTGTATTCCATCACTTCCCTGCAAGAATTTCCTATTGCGCTTTTGCCTTGACAGATGGCATTCGCTGTGGGAGCTGGCGGGGGCTGGATTGTACCCGCTTGATTGACATTCTAACTCGGCTTCGGATTGCGCAGTGTCAGTGGCGATTTTGTGGATCGTGTGTGTGTGTGTGAGAGAGAGAGAGAGAGAGAGAGAGAGAGAGATTGAGACTTTTGGCTCTTGGGTTCTGTGTCGCGACTGCATTGGTGTTGCGGATTCGGGTTTGATGATTAGTACAGGCAGGCAGGTGTAATCGGAGGCGATTGGCTATGGCTACCTTGCTTTGTACTGCCTTGCCAGTGTCTTCTTCCTATCGTTCCAAATTTGGGGTTGCATCACAGTTAGGTCTTTCGTCGAGGCACCAGCGTTTGTCAATTCCCGCGAGCTTTTCATTGGGTTCCTCTCCTGGTTGGCTATCCACGGGGTTCGTGTTGCGGCATTCGGCTCTAATTTTGAAGGTTGATCAGGTGCCTACAAGCTCACACTCTCAATTCTTGTCCATCGTACGTTGAGGAAGGAAAATAGAGTTGCAAGATGAGGATTAGAGCAGAGCATTTTCTTGAACAATTACGATGGACCCAGCCATCCATCTGCCTCTTGAATTAGGGGATAATGACATTCTTTAAGCTTCTGACGACAAATTTGGTTTTGGTCAATTAAATTTGAGCAATCGTCTGAATTAATCATTTATGGTTCACGCTGGTTTAGTATAGATGTTTGTGATTCTAGCTGTGAGGAATCGCATTATGAAGGTTTGCTCAAGTCACCGTTCTTGTCCAGTGCATTGCATGGTAGGAACTGTCTTAGTGGTCCCACTCGGAAAATTTGAACTTGCTGATACCATCGTACTACGGGTTGATTGTGGAAATTATCTGCTGAAAAAGGGCTCAAAGTTGATTGTGTAAATAGTAGGGTGAGGATGCGGAGAATGGAACCCGCCATGCATGTGAGGTTTTTTTAAGCGCCGGCATGCATCATGGGAAACAGATTCCGACCCAGCGCTTGATGACTTCAGTGAGGAGTTAAATCGAGTCGAGGTTTATTTATTTTAAAGCAATAGGTTCTGGAGAAGTAATCACCTCATTGTTGCAGTTTTAATGTTCAATCTCTCAATTTCTGTGGGTTTACAGAGGAAATTGAGAACTCTAGTCACGGCGGCACTTACAGACGCAGAACAAACTAGTGAATCTTCGAGTTTGAAGAGGGACTTGGAAACAAGTGTGGCATCACATGATGCATTACCACCCATTGAAACACGCAAACGTGTAGTGTTAGTAAGACATGGGGAGAGCACGTGGAATGCAATTGGGCGCATTCAGGGAAGCTCGGACTTCGCTGTCCTTACACCTAAGGGAGAGGGTCAGGCCGAAACGTCGCGGCAAATGCTGCTCGGGGACAATTTTGATAGCTGCTTCTACAGGTTCTCTTCTAGTCTGTATTTAGTGCTCTTCTGTAATTGTATACTCTACTATCATGCTTTGTGGGATGATGGACAAGCTTTGTTCTGATACATTTTGAGATCTTGGGGGTCAAGTCCGCTTGCAAGAACAAAACGTACTGCCGAGATCATCTGGGGTGATCGTAAGAAACCGATGAAGTCGCTGTTCGACCTGCGCGAAATCGATCTTTACTCGTTTCAGGTACACAGTTGATCGTGAGTAGAGTTTTTCCTGTATATCTTTGGCTCGCCTCTGCAGTTCTCTAGTCTTCTTGCTGCATTTGCTCGTACCTATTCGTAGACATTCTTTTTAATAACGGTTTTATCAATTGCAAATGTAATCCAACCTCCTTGAACTAACAGGGTCTGTACAAGCAAGAAGGGAAAGACAGATATGGCGAGAATTATAGGATGTGGCAAAAAGATGCGGCCAATTTCGAGATTGATGGTCACTATCCAGTGCGTGAACTTTGGGCGCGCGCTCAGTCATGTTGGCAAAGCATTCTCAATAGCAGTGGCACCTCAATACTTGTAGTTGCCCATAATGCAGTCAACCAGGCTTTGGTAGCAACTGCTACAGGTATGTGCTAACTATTGCTCATTTTGAAAATACTTTTACATCTTAAACACTAAAATGTTAAACACTACAAAAAAATATTGACAATTCTCGTGTATTACCAGGGTTAGGGCCGGAATATTTCAGGCAGCTGCTTCAGAGCAATTGCGGAGTGAGTGTTTTGGACTTCACTCCACGGATGAGTGGTGATGGGCCTCCTTATGTCTGTCTCGATCGACTCAACCAGGCACTTTCCTTGACCCTCTTCAGAGGACTTGTTGAGAACAAGTTTTTATGATTCAATCCAATTCAGACCTAACCGGGTTTATTAAGTCTAACTGATATATAAGCGTGGCGAAAGTTGAGGTCGTTTATTCTCAGTAGTGCTCAGGTTTGGACTCGCACAGATTTTGGACTTACACATGACGCCCGCGATGAATGGTTGTAATAGGTTAACGGATTGTTGTGTTATCATCATATCGTTGCACTCTATCAAGCTTTACATATTAGCTGAGTTTTGTACCCTAGTGTTAGTTTTCACCAGAAGTGGTAAAGCCGAAGTTTCTTAGGCCAATACATCCCACAAACATTTGAATCAGAGAAAGGGCTTGTACTGTAGATTATCACATGTTCAGAAGGAAAGAAAGTGACAAATAGAGGGATCTTAACATTGATGCAGGCCTACTGAATTGCAGACTCCAAGTCCACCTTTGATAGCCTCAGGGGGACGGAAGGCGCTCACCCGTATTCTCCTAGTTTGTCATGGGGCTACGGACAGCTCAACTCAGGTCAGGATTTTGAAAAGATTGCGTACTTTTACAATTTCAATGACTAATACATGTCTTAGGTGATCCTTCGATTACGCTATCTAATAAGCATTCACAAGTGTGATGACAAGGGAGGTCTGCTTCCATTGCTTCAACTTCCAACCTTGAACAACTTCCAAACTAAACTTGCTGTGAGCTTTTTCAGCAACGCTTTCCAGCGGATGAGGATGAGAATGTGAACGTTTTAGGTGGCATTCAGGTACACTATTTCCTCGTATCAAGTGAACCTCCCTAGACTTTCTTTGTAAATAGAAACATCTCTTAAATATTCTAAGTTGCTCGACTGCTATGGATAAATAGTTTTGCTTTTCGGGTTTGCTTCTCGCCTATTTGCCGTTCGGTAGGTGTGCCGAGTCTTAATGCATGATCCTCCAGGAACTTTTAGTGGCCTGCATGTTAGTTTCAAGTGGCTAATCGAGTTGGGTCGAAGTTATCCGTTGCTTATACTTCGTGGCTCTTTGGGGTTTGACTGGAGGGGTTTAGTCTGGGAAGGTGGCGGAGTTGCTTCTAGACGTCAATGTGAACGTGGTGCTCCATGGACCTCAACCTTGTGTTAAGCATACAGCTACCTACATTACTCAGGTAGCTTGAATTTTTCATCATTAGTAATAATGCTTAACCCTAATTTCTGTGTCTAAACTTTTCTTTTGTCTAGATCTCTTCTTCCCTTATGAGACCTTTCATGCTTGACATTCAAATCTCAAGCTGCTGGAACCGTATGTTGCACATGTTGTATGCTGCTTGGCGCATCAGTGTTATGGATTCCAAGGCAATAAAAGTGAGCACTGCGTTTGAATCTGAGCTATGGATCACTTGGACAGGTGCAAGAGGCAGCTGACTGCTTAGGTGTAGACTGCTTGCCTCGCTACGTAGATATGAAAGAGTTGTCTAGTCTACGAGACATGGTTTGGGGCGAATGGGTGGTGAGTGCTCATTAACGTTTGGGGATTGTTTTGCTGTAGTTATTGGTTTTTTTCTGTCTTTTTATCTTTATTTTGTTTTTCCTGTTCGTTTAGTGGCACGTTTCTTTCACACAGGGGAAGTCAAAGGAAACTGTGTTGGAGCGAGAGCGTTGGCAAGACTACCTGCAACACGAAGATGTCCCTGGAGCCGAGAGCCTCTCCTCTTTATGGGAGCGAGCGGGCCAGGCATGGCAGGAGGTGGTAGCTGAGCTCGGCAACGTACCCGCAGCAGATTCTAAAGAGTCCCAAGAACGTACAGTGGTAGTGGTCTCTCACCCAACTGTACATGTTGCAATGGTGGCGCATTGTCTTGGCCTCACGCAGGCTGCCTTGGGATCCTACCACCTAGACACGGGCAGCTTGAGCGTCATTGACTTTCCTGATGGCTCCTCGGGTAAGGGGATAGTCAGATGCTTAAATTACACAGCTCACTTGGGGCGTTGGGCGGTACCTGTCACCCGCCCCACCCTTGCAGATGAGGATTTCTGAATAAAACATTGCTCATGAATTGTATTGCAGTCTGCTAAGATAATTCACTTTATTAATATTCTTTGCTATGTTCTCCTCTGATCACTTATTGTCAGAATAGTAGTTGACATTGCGACTTTTGATTGTTAGTGCGATAGTTGCATGAATACTAAAAGGTCGATTTTGAAACCGGATAGAGGTCAATAGATACCTAGGCACTGTTGCAGCACCTGTTGTGATTTAGATTTCACATTATACGCTTTTTCTCAAATCATTGTCATTAGACCGTCATACTGCTTATGATTGATACCTATTTACGTGAATGGATTATTTGTGTGGAAGACAAAGGAAAAGCATCTGGGTGTAACCGGAGAGAGGTCAATAGATACCCAGGCAGTGTTGCAGCACCTGTTGTGATTTAGATTTCACATTATCGTAGTTCTTGCTACCAAATGTATTCAGTGTAAGTGGACCTGTCGTAGACGATTGTTTTTGGCTTTTCTGTGGTCTCTACACTAAATAAAATTTCAGAGTGCTGTTTACCACGCATATTACTAACGCACCATGGGATGCATGTACATAGAACACTGAACCCTTTTTTCCACTACTGTTTGATCACCTGGACCCGATTGGAGCTGTCTGCATTAGTTAGCTTGCTTCTCACAGAGCCCAATATTACTTATTGGAGTTCATGACTGCTATTAAAGGTGGACTCTTATGGCGAATCACTTGGTTGACCCGCCACCACCGAACCCACTGACAAAACAATTTCCGATCATCTCAAAGAACTTGTAAGTTTGGAGACCCTACAGATTCATAACTTAAGTAGTACATCTGTGTAAATTGGTCAGAACATGGAAGGCCAATTGAGCTTTGACTCCGTATTGGCTTTTGGACTGAAGGGAAGCCATTTCATGGCTACAGATCGGTAGTGTTGGTAAGCAAGCTGGTGATCTCAAGATTAGATGGAAATTGTGATAGTGAATTGTTAAATTGCGGAGATTGAACTTAACATATTTGCATGAAGGATCAAGAGATGAGGGTAGCTTAGGTGTCTTATTTAGTTTGAAGGGCCATAGACAAAACGAGATAAGATAGATTAAGCAAAAAAACTACTAAATACATTTTTAGGTGAAAGTTAAAGGTAGTATTCATCACATTTATCAAAAAAACTTAGATTGATATTCAACCACCATTTGTGAACTAGGATCAAAATCAAATCCCAAGGCACCAAATTATGTGTTTATGACAAATGCAAAGTTATTTTATTGATTAGAAAGTAGGATTAGAAAGAAAACTTAAGAGGAGTTCTACATGCATTAGTTTTGGGCAAGCTGAATTTGTATAGACTTTGTGAGAGCTATACAAAGTCAAGATTTGATTTTAATGACTTTGTTTTTGAGAATTAAAGTAGAATTTATATTTTGGAGGATTTTTTGAATTTTATAGCAAATCTATTAGTAAGAATTTTTGTGTTTATTCAATACTTGTACTAAGTTTGTGCATGAATTTGAGCTTACTTGGTTATTTATATTTAAATTTATTGGAACTCAAGCACATAAGAGATTAGTAGTTTGTGGTTTGAGGATTAATAAGGGATTTAAACATTACCAACAATCCTTTAATTGAATTGAGGTGGAATTTTGGACACTAGTAGTAGACATAAATTTTAGTATATATATAAATTTTAGAAGAAAATTAATGGTGCCAAAAAGAGGTTATGGTGCTCAAAATTTAATATTGAGATTAAAAAAAAGAGGCTATCTAACATTTGAGCCATTTTTTGTATTTTCTGTCAATTTGTAAGTGAAACTCTTTTTAATTTTTTTTTTTTTTTTTTTTTTTTTTTTCAATTAAGATGATAAAAGATGTGTAAAATTTGAAGTAAAATCAGTGATTAAATTAAAAGTTAAAGAAAATTTAATTTATTATTGTCTCTATTTTAAATTGATTAGAATTTGATTAGGGTTTGATTAGTATTTTATTAAAATTATTTAAATATTTAATTAGAATTCAATTAATATTTTTTTAAAGATTTGATTATAATTTATTTAAGATTTTATTAATTTATTTTTTTAAAAAAAATCTACAAATTTTTATTACTTCTATTCATCAAGTAAGTATTACAATGATGCAATAGTTTTATTACATTTGTGGAATTATAATTAAGGAGTTGCATTGTCTTTATAAAAGTCTTTAATTTCTATTCTTATTTTTTCTTTTTTGTCTACTTCATCAAGGCCTATGCTCTACTATGTTCTTATATCCATAGCAAATTGTTATTGCCACATGGCTAATAATTCAACCCTACCTTGTATTTTCTAAAAAGAGGTTTCAATAAAAACTAATAGATTATTAGAAATCAACTATATTTCTTAAAAGTATTTAATATAATTTAGAAGTTTTTATTTTCAATATGTTTGTAGTATCACATTATATTCATGTAATAAAAGTATAGATTAAAAGTATAGATAAAAATATCAATTCTTTAATTTGAGGTTTAAAATAAATTATTAATAACTACTCAAGATTTTCTTAGGATTATTTAAAATTTGATTTAGATTTAATAATATATATCTAGGATTTTTTTAGAATTAATAGAATGTACTTAAAGTATCTCAAAAGTTACTTAAGACCTTAATTTATTTTTTTATGATTTCATAAATTATAATTTAAAATTGATAGAAATAAAAATTGATTAAATTATCAATTCTAAAAAAGATATCAAGGACATGAATCACAAATGGTAAAAGCTTCAAGACATTCTTGTATCACTCAAAAGAAGAAATATTTATTCAAAAATAATATAATATTATAATTAAAATAGCTATTGCCAAAGATAAAAAGACTAGAGACTCTTGAAATAAGACTAAGAAAAAAAATCATTTATAAGAGTGAAGAAGACTTCATTCTTGCTTTTATATATACTATCTAAATATAATCTATGTGGCCACATTCTAAAGGACCTTAAATATGTGTTTAACCTAAAAGATATACATCTAATTTATAAGAGAATTTTTATATATATGCACCTTATGCCTAACTTGTGCTACAAGCTATCAACATGTGCAATATATGGCCAACTTTTCAACTTATTAATCAACTACAAATACGTATAAACTCAAATCCATGTCTGTAAAGCTTTTGAAAACCTTCATCATGAGATATTATTAAATTTACCTATATTCATCCTCTACTTAACACTTCTTATCTAAATAAATATTTATGTCCACTGCATTATCTTCCCTTCTAAAAACCTATTCTACAAAGATCAATAATCAATGTTGAGAAAGTCTAAGATGTAACAAATTATTTTTAATACACATTTTGAATTTTTTTTTTAAATAATTGATATGCCCTATCTACTATTAATAATATTTTATATTAAGATGAGAAGACTATCCTAATATTTAATCATTATTAAAGCCTTTATAACTTTTTTCAAATAAAATATTTAGAACACCATTAAGTATGGTTCCTACTTCCAATAATAATATTAACTATTCAGAGTTTCTTTGAAGGTTGTAATTTCAAATAAGTTATATTTTATTATCTATTTGAAAAAAAATATATTATTTTTGAAGGTCTTCATTTCTATTACATTATCTTAAAGATTGTAATAACATCAATGCATTGTCTTAATAAACAATAGCTCTTGATTTGAATTTGGTGGTTATTAATTTTCCATATTTTTAGTACTATAAATACAAAAAAACCACAAGGTTACAAGTAGAATACAATCTTTACTAAACTTTATTTCTTTTATATTAATAATTACTTGACTTTTTATCTTAGTTTTAATAAATATTATTGATAAAAAAACATCAACCTATTTCATTGCATTTAGAAGATTATTGAATGGCTCCCATATGTGAAGTGTTTATATAAAATATGCATTCAATAATATCATATTTGCACCAATGTATAAGATATTACAACTTATTTTTGTGTCGGCTAAAATCAAAGATTTCTTTGGCCTCAAACACTTAATTCTTATTTACTTATATATGAGAAAGTGCTATTTATCTTTTTTTTTTAATATATCTATTATCTTGTATGACTCAAAAAAAGATACATAAAACATAAAATGAATCTTTATAGATTCTTATAAATATAATTGATAAGCAACTACATTTATTTATTTAAAAATAAAAAATAGTCCAAATCTATAATATATCCAACTTATCATAAGAGTAAATAGTCTTGATATCAAAACAAAGTAACCATATCTTATTGACCACATAAAATTGACATTGTTTCTAGCAATAGACCTAATCATTATTGTATATCTTCATTTTAATGGATGTAGAATTGATATTGTGTCTTTGTTTTTGTATACGACTTTGAGAAATAATTTATCAAATCTTTGGCCATAGAATTATCAACTTTTGAGAAGTCAAAAATATCAAGCCATATATGATAATCATAATTTATATAGAAAGATGTTTATTAAATAAAAAAATATATCATATCATTATAAGTAAATTTTATTAATAGAAAAAATATTTATTCAATCATCTTGATGGTAGTTAATGATACACCTCAAATACTACTTCAAATTTGATTTATATGTTTTGTCTCTCTATCACATTGAGGATAAAAAATCAAAAATAGATTTATGTCCATCTTTAATATCTTAAAAAAGATTCTTTAAAATCTTGATATAAATTGAGTCATTTTATTTGATATAATATCCTTTTGTAATGTATGATAGCAATAAATATTTTTAAGGAAAAAAATAATTTTTTTATTGCTTGTGATAAATTTTGTATATAATACAAAATATGCCATCTTGATGGAAAAATTTACTCTCACAAATATAAAATCAAATGAATATGAAGTTCAAAGATTTGTAATATAATCCATGGAAATAGAAGATTATGATTGTTTTGATACATATAATAGTTAAAGAAGTCTATAGAATTAATAGCAAGGATTTTTTTTATTCTAAATAAATGTCATATGATTGTAAATTTTTTTTAATTATCTTCTATATTTGAGACTACTAAAAATCTCTAAAGATTAGTTCCAAAAACTTGTATCCAAAATGTCTTGCAATTGAAAAATTGTGATGAACTTAAAGAATACATTGTTGTAGTAGA